CTAACAACCCCTTTCCTGGCCGCGTACCTGCCACCCCTCATGGGGACCTTTCCCCTTCTTTAAACCAAGCCTTTCTTCCGACGACAACCCTTTACTGGCCCTTACTGCCACCCTCAGGGGAACCTGTCCCTTCTTAAACAAAGCCGTTCTTCTATAACACCCTTTACGGGGGCCCTTAATGCCACCCTCAGGGGACCTTTCCCTTCTTTAGACAAAGCCTTCTTCTACTAAACAACCTGTTACTGGCACTTAATGCCACCCTCAGGCGGACTCCCTTCTTAAACACAGCCGTGCTTCGCTAACAACCCTTATGGCCCTCTATGCCACCCTCAGGGGGACTCGTTCCCTTCTTTTTGAAACACAGCCTTTCTTATACTAACAACCCTTTAATGGCCCCTTACTGCCACCCTCAGGGGACCTTTCCCTTCTTTAAACCACATCCTGATGCCCTAAACAACCCATTACTGGACCTTAATGCCACCCTCAGGGGACCTTTCCCTTCTTTAAACCAGCCTTTCTTTCTACTAACAACCCTTTACTGGCCCTTTACTGCCCCCTCCAGGGGGCCTTCCCTCTTTTTAACACAGCCTGTCTTATACTAACAACCTTTACTGGCCCTTAATGCCACCCTCAGGGGACCTTTCCCTTCTTAAACACCCAGCATTTATTCTACAACAACCCCTTTACTGGCCCATTAAAGGCCACCCGCAGGGGGACTTCCCTCTTCTTTAAACACAGCCTTTCTTCGCTAACAACCCTTTACTGGCACTTACTGCACCCACAGGGGACCTTACCTTCTTTAACACGGCCTTCTTCTACTAACAACCCTTTACTGTCCTTACTGCCACCCTGGGACCTGTACCTCTTTAAAACACAGCCGTTATTCCGCTAACAACCCTTTACTGGCCCTTACTGCCACCCTCAGGGGACCTTTCCATCTTTAAACACAGACCTGTATTCTAAGTAACAACCCTTTATGGCCCTTACTGCCAAAAGGAAGGAGGAATTCTCTCGCTTGCCACCAAATAAGTCTCCTAATGTCCTTCCAATTGAGCTCTATTTCTCCTTCCGCATCGTTCTGCCCACTCCCTTCTTCCTCAGAACGCCAAGGATTGTCTTTTCCTTCATTGCTTGGACTTAAAACAATGGACTAGTCCTCTATCCCCCCTCAGTCGCCCCATCTGATCGCTCTGAGCCTCACAACCATACCCCACCCCCTTTATTCATTCGCTTATCGCACCTGACGTCGAGTTTGACCAATTACCCCACTTACATCTGCACCCTAAGTGGACCGATATGCAACGGTCTCTGATTCCAACATATTAGCTTACCCCCGTCCATTAATGAAAGCAACGACATTACAATCAATACACCTAAATCTACACTTCAGGGGATTCCTAAATTCGTGAACAGTCAGTAGAACAACAAAGATTCACATCGAGATTATGAATTTCCCAAGAACACAAAGAAGGATATGACGATGCGTAATTTAGTACTCCATTTTCCCCTATTCTTTTCCCACATCCCGTCAATCTACATTCCTCTTACATTGAAGCACGGACACTAATGCTTTGACAGAGGTAATTCAGAGGCTTAAGCGAAGCAAACACAAAGATCAACCTGGGGAGCATCGGGAGTGGTCCATTAGCAATAGTTAATACGAAGAAAAGGAGATCAGGGAAGAAGCGACCAACGGGTAGAGAAAAGAACGGGGAGTGGAAGAGTGAAAGGAGCGTTGCATTAAAATTAAAAGCTACTTTTTGCTTTGCTTCCTGCAACAACCCCCTTTTTAACTGGCCTTACTGCCACCTCAGGGCGACCTTCCTTCTTTAAAAACAGCCTTCTTCTACTAAAAACAACCCTTACTTGGCCCTTACGCCACCCTCAGGGGACCTTCCCTTCTTTTAAACAAGCCTTCTTCCGCTAAACAACCTTTTACTGGCCCTACTGCCCACCCTCGGGGAACTGTCACTTCTTTAAACACAGCCTTCTTCGTAACAACCCTTTAATGGGCCGTACTGCCACCCTCCGGGGACCTTGCCCTTCTTTAAACACAGCCTTTCTTCTATAACAACCCTTACTGGCCCTTACTGCCACCCTCAGGGGACCTTCCATTCTTTAAACACATCCTTTTTCTACTAACAAACCCGTTACTGGCCCTTACTGCCACCCTTAAGGGGACCTTTCCCCTCTTTAACACAGCCTTTTATTCCGGCTAACAAAACTTACTTGCCCTTACTGCCACCTCAGGGGACCTTTCCTTCTTTTAAACACAGCCTTTTATTCTACTAACAACCCTTACTGGCCCTTACTGCCACCCTCAGGGGGACCTTTCCCGTTCTTTAAACACAGGCCTTTCTTCCGCCTAACAACCCTTTACTGGCCATTACTGCCACCCCCAGGGACCTTTCCTGTCTTTAAACACGCCTTCTTTCTAACACCCTTTACTGGGCCCTTTACTGCCAACCTCAGGGGACCTTTCCCTTCTTTATTAAACACAGCCTTTCTTCCGCTAACCAAACCCTTACGGCCCTTTACTGCCACCCTCAGGGGACATTCCCTTCTTTAAAAACAGCCGTCTATACTAACAACCCTTTACTGTCCCTTACTGCCACCCTCAGGGGACCTTTCCCTTCTTTAAAACACAGCCTTTTCTTCTACTAACAAACCCTTTACTGGCCCTTACTGCCAACCTCAGGGACCTTCCCTTCTTTAAACACAGCATTCTTCCGTAACAACCCTTTACTGGCCGTACTGCCACCATCAGGGGACCTATCCCTTCTGTAAACACAGCCTTTCTTATACTAACAACCCTTTACTGGACCTTACTGCCAAACTAGGGCCCTTTCCCTTCTTAAACACAAAGCCTCTTCTTCCGCTAACAAACCCTTTAATGGCCCTTCTGGCCACCCTCAGGGGGAACGTTCCCTCTAAACACAGCCTTTCTTCTACTAACAAACCCTTTCCTGGCCCTTATGCCACCCTCAGGGAACCTTTTTCCTTCTTTAGGACAAAAGCCTTTTCTTCTACTAAAAACCCTTACTGGGCCCTTACTGCCACCACTCAGGGGACCTTTCCCGTCTTAAAAACCACAGCCTTTATTCCGCAACAACCCTTTAATTGGCCCTTACTGCCACCCTCAGGGGACCTTCCTTCTTTAAACACAGCCTTTCTTCTACTAACAAACCTTTACTGGCCCTTCTGCCACCCTCAGGGACCTTTCCCTTCTGTAAAACACATCCTTTTTCCGCTAACAACCCTTTACTGGCCATTACTGCCACCCTCAGGGGACCTGTCCCTTCTTTAAAAACACAGCCTTTCTTCCGCTAACAACCCTTTTCTGGCCCTATGACACCCCTCAGGGGACCTTTCCTTCGTTTAAACACAGCCTTTCTTCTACTAAAACCCTACTGGCCCTTACTGCCACCCGCGGGGACCTTTCCTGCTTTAAAACACAGCCTTTTCTGGTCCGCTAACAACCCTTTACTCGGCCCTTACTGCCACCATCAGGGGGACCTTTCCCTTCTTTAAACACAGCCTTTCTTCTACTAACAACCCTTACCTGTCATTACTGCCACCGCAGGGGGACCTTTTCCCTTTTAAAACAAGCCTTTCGTCTCTAACAACCTTACTGACCTTACTGCCACCTCGGGACCTTCCCTTCTTTAAACACAGCCGGTTCTACTAACAACCCTTTACTGGCCCTTACGGCCACCCTAGGGGACCTTTCCCTTCTTTAAACACAGCCTGGGCTTCCGCTAAAAACCCTTACGGGCCATACTGGCCACCCTCAGGGGACCTTTCCCTTCTTTTAAACAACAGCTTTCTTTACTAACAACCTTTATGGGACCTTACTGGCCACCCGCAGGGGACATTTCCCTTCTTTAAACACAGCCTTCTTATACTAACAACCTTTACTGGCCCTTACTGCCACCCTCAGGGGACCCTTTCCCTTCTTTAACACAGGCCTATTTTTTCTACCTACAACCCTTTACTGGCCCTTACTGCTCACCCTCAGGGGAACCTTTCCCTTCTTTAAACACAGCCTTTATTCTACAACAAACCCTTTAATGGCCATTTACTGCCACCCTCAGGGGACCTTACCTCTTTAAACACAGCCTTTCTTTACTAACACCTTTACTGGCCCTTACTGCCACCCTCAGGGGACTGTCCCTCTTTAAAAACACAGCCTTTCTTTCTACTAACAACCCTTTACTGGCCCTTACTGCCACCATCAGGGGGACCTTCCCTTCTTTAAAACACCAGCCTTTTATAATAACAACTTACTGGCCCTACTGCCACCCTCCAGGGGACCTTTCCCTTCTTTTAAACACGCCTTTCTTGCTAAACCATTTTACTGCCCCGTAGATGCCACCTCAGGGGACATTTCCTTCTTGAAAAACGCCTTCTTCATACTAACAACCTTACTGGCCCTTACTGCCCACCCCAGGGGGACCTTTCCCTTCTTTAAACACAGCCTTTCGTTCTACAACAACCCTTTAATGGCCATTACTGCCACCCTCAGTGGACCTTCCCTTCTGTTAACAAAGCCTTTCGTATACTAACAACCCTTTACGGCCCTTACTGCAACCCTTCAGGGGACCTTTCCCTTTCTTAAACACATCCTTTCTTCTACTAACAACCCTTTACTGGCCTTACTGCCACCCTCATGGACCGGTACCTTCTTTTAAACACAGCCTTCTTCTACTAACAAACCCTGGACGGCCCCTTACTGCCCCCCTCAGGGGACTTTACCTTCTTTTAAACACAGCCTTCTTTACTAACAACCTTTACGGGCCATTACTGCCACCCTCAGGGGACTGGCCTCTTTATAACAAAGCCTTTCTTCTTTTCCAGGTGCAGGCGTGGGGGGCGGGGCCTGCAGTACAGGGTCCAGGGGGTGTGTCTGGTCGAGGCCAGGGAGTCCGGAGCGCAAGAGCTCTGCAGCTGACCTACGAACCCTGCAGGACGAGGCGCCCTGAGGACAGGGGGGCTTAGCCATGGGAGCAGGATTCTGGGCGAAGCTGGGCCTGTTTGGGGCGGGACATCCTGAACTGAGCTTATTACCCATTCAATTTCATCCTCTATAAGGTGTGTGTGGGCGTATATGTGAGTGTGTGTGTGCATGTCTCTCTTCTCTCTACACCTCTGACTCATCCCTCTCTCCCCCCCAGCACAGACTTCCAGGAGTCGTCAGTGCTGGCTCGGCGCCCCCTGCTGGCCAGTGTATGTGTGTGTTTGGTGTTAGCCGTGGGCTGTTGTTCTATGAGGGACTGTGTGAGAGCTAAACCCTGGCTAGGGCTGTTGGCTCTGCTCTCTATCGCCCTCTCTGGTCTCACTGCTGCTGGCATCCTTAACCTGACTGGAACCACTTACAACTCTACCTACCTGGGGGTCCCATTCATACTGTTGGGTGAGTAAACTACCGACCTACGGGGGTCCAGCATTCTGTGGGGAGGATAACTACCCTACCTACCTACCTACCTACCTGGGGGTCCATTCATACTGTTGGGTGAGTTATAACTACCCTACCTACCTACCTGGGGGTCCATTCATACTGTTGGGTGAGTTATAACTACCTACCTACCTACCTGGGGGTCCATTCATACTGCTGGGTGAGTTATAAACTACCACCTACCTCCTTACCTGGGGGGTCAATTCATACTGATGGGGTGAGTTATAAACTACTACCTAACCTACCTACCTAACCTGGGGGTCCATATACTGATGGGGGAGTGATAACTAACTACCTATCCACCACATACCTGGGGGGCCAGTCAATCTGTTGGGTGAGTTAAACTACCTGACCTACCTAACCTGGGGGTCCCCATTCATACTGATGGGTTGAGTTATAAAATACCTACCACCAACCTACCTACGGGGGTCCATTCATACTGTTGGGTGAGTTATAACTACCTACCTACCTACCTACCTACCTGGGGGTCCCATTCATACTGTTGGGTGAGTTATAACTACCTACCTACCTAACCTGGGGGTCCATTCATACTGCTGGGTGAGTTATAACTACCTACCTACCTACCTACCTACCTGGGGGTCCATTCATACTGTTGGGTGAGTTATAATACTCGACCTACCTACTACCGACTGGGGGTCGGGGGGGGGGCCCATTATACTGCTGGGGTTATAACTACCTACCGACCAAACCTACCCTACCGGGGGTCCATTCATACTGCTGGGTGAGTTATAACTACCTACCTACCCCTACCTACCTACCTACCTACCTGGGGGTCCATTCATACTGTTGGGTGAGTTATAACTACCTACCTACCTACCTACCTGGGGGTCCATTCATACTGTTGGGTGAGTTATAACACCTACCTACCTACCTGGGGGTCCATTCATACTGTTGGGTGAGTTATAACTACCTACCTACCTGGGGGTCCATTCATACTGCTGGGTGAGTTATAACTACCTACCTACCTGGGGGTCCATTCATACTGCTGGGTGAGTTATAACGTACCACCTACTACCACCCTACCTGGGGGGTCAGTCATGACGTTGGGTGAGTTATAACTACCTACCTACCTACCTGGGGGGTCCATTCATACTGCTGGGTGAGTTATAACTACCTACTACATGGGGTACATTCATACTGCTGGGTGAGTTATAACAACTCACCTTTCCCATACCCCCCTACCTACTGGGGGGTCCATCATTACTGCTGGGTGAGTTATAACTACCTTACCTACCTGGGGGTCCATTCATACTGCTGGGTGAGTTATAACTACTACCTACCTACCTGGGGGTCCATTCATACTGCTGGGTGAGTTATAACTACCTACCTACCTACTGGGGGTTCCATTCATACTGCTGGGTGAGTTATAACTACCTAACCTACCTACCTGGGGGTCCATCATAATGTTGGGGGTGAGTTATAACTACTACCTACCTGGGGGTCAATTATACTGCGGGGTGAGTTATAACTACTACCTACCTGGGGTCCTTCATACTGCTGGGGAGTTGTATAACACCTACCTACTACCTGGGGTACAGTCATACTGTTGGGTGAGTTTAACTACCTAACCTACCGACCAATGGGGTCCATTCATACTGCTGGGTGAGTTATAACTACTACCTACCTACCTACCTGGGGGTCCATTCATACTGTTGGGTGAGTTAAACTAACTACCTACCTACCTACCTTAAATTTGTTGGGGTCCATTCATACTGTGGTGAGTTATACTACCTCATAACTACATACCTACCTACCTGGGGGGTCCATTAATTACTGCTGGGTGAGTTATAACTACCACATACCCTACCTACCTGGGGGTCCATGCATTTCTGCTGGGTGGAGTAAACTACTACATCCTGGGCGGGGTCCTTCATACTGTCTGGGGTGAGTTATAACTACCCCTACTGACCTACATACCACTACCTGGGGGGTCCATTCATACTGTGGCGTGGATATAACACCTACCAACCTACCTGGGGTCCCATCATATGCCTGGTGAGTATAACGACCTTAACTACCTACCTGGGGTCCCATTTAATACGCGGGGTGAGTTATAACTACCTACCTACCTGGGGGGTCCCATTCATACTGCTGGGGAGTTTACTACCTACCACCTGGCGGGTCATCATACTGCTGGGGAGTTATAACTACCTTACTACCTACCACCTACCTGGGGTCCATTCATTACTGTGGGTGAGTTATAACTACCTAACTACCTGGGGGGGGTCCATTATACTTGTTGGCGGATTATAACTACCTACATACTACCAAATGGGGTCCATTCATACTGATGGTGAGTTATAACTACTACCTACCTGGGGTCATTCATATGTTGGGTGAGTTATAAATACTACCTTACCTGGGGGTCCATCCTACTGCTGGGTGAGTTATAACTACTACCTACCTTACTGGGCGTACATTCATATGTTGGGTGAGTTATAACTCCTGACCTAACTACCTGGGGGTCATTCAACTGCTGGGTGAGTTATAACTACCTACCACCTACCTGGGGTCCTCCATTCATACTGCCTGGGTGAGTTAGAACTACCTTACCCTACATGGGGGTTCCATCATACTGTGGGTGAGTTATAACTACCTTACCTACCGGGGGTCCATTCATAATGTGGGTGAGTTCATAACTACCTCCCTGACCTACCTGGGGTTCAATTCATACTGTTTGGGTGAGTTATAACTACCTACCTACCTACCTGGGGGTCCCATTCATACTGCTGGGTGAGTTATAACTACTACCTACCTACCTGGGGGTCCATTCATACTGCTGGGTGAGTTTTTATAACTACCTACCTACCTACCTGGGGGTCCATTCATACTGCTGGGTGAGTTATAACTACCTACCTACCTACCTGGGGGTCCATTCATACTGCTGGGTGAGTTATAACTACCTACCTACCTACCTTACCTACTGGGTCCTTCATACTGTGGGGTGGTTAAATACCTACTACCGGGGGGCCATCATAATGCTGGGTGAGTTATAACTACCTACCGACCGGGGGTCCATTCATATGCTCGGTGAGTTATAACTACCTACCCACTACCTACTACTGGGGGGTCCATTCATACTGTTGGTGCGTTATAACTCCCTACCTACCTGGGGGTCCAGTCTACTGCTGGGTGAGTTGTAGAAAGAAATAAAGTAAAGCAAGGCGGGGGGGGTGTGGGGGGGGAGGGGGAAGGATGAGAGTAAGAGGTATAAGAGAGAGAAGGAGAGTAGAGAGTAGAGAGAGAGAGAGAGAGAGAGCGGAGGGAGAGAGAGAAGAAGAGAGGAGAGAGAGAGGAGAGCATATCCACATCATATCTCTCTATTCTCCAAATCTCTATCTCTCCCACATCTCTCTCTCTCTCCTAATCTACTGTCTTTCTCTATCCCCTCAGCTCTTTCCTATCTTCCTCATCTCTCTATCCCTATCTCTATCTCCTCATCTATCCCTTCACTTTCCTAATCTCTCTCTCTCTCTTCTTACATTCTCCTCCCAGACCCCATCTAAGCTGGTCGGCGTAGGTGGCACGGCTAGCTCGAGCGAGCGAGCTCGCGGCGCGACGGTCGGGCGCGGTAGCGCAGAAGAAGTCGCGAGCGCGAGCCACAGCTCGCGCGCGTCGCGCGCTTCAACAGCGCGTGCGCGAGAAAAAGCGAGCGAGTAGAGACGAAGCGAGGGCTGGCGCGAGAACCGAAGGAGGTAGCGAGCGACGCAGTGCGAGAGAGACGCAGCGAGAGAAGAGATGATGCAGGGAAAGCGAGCCAAAGGAAAAAAAGTAAGAGGGAGCGAGTAGGGGAAAGGGAGAGAGAGAGAGAGAGAGAGAGACGGAGAGTAGAGTAGAGAGGAGAGAGAGGAGAGAGAGAGAGAAAGGAGAGAAGAACAAGGAGGGAGAGGAGGAGATGTGGCGCGAGGGAAGGCGGAGAAGGAGAGAGGAGAGAGGAGAGAGAGAGGAGCAGAAGAGAGAAGAGAGAGAGAGAGAGGGAGAGATAGAGAAGTAGAAGATAGAGAGAGAGAGAGAGAGAGGATAGGGATGAGATAGAGATCGCTCCTCTTCTTGCTCTCTCTCTCTCTTTCTCTCTCTCTCGACTCTCCCTTATTCTCTTCTCTCTCTCTGTATGTCCTCTTTATTCAGTCCCAGCACAGCTCTCCCCCACACATGACACAATTCAGTGAGCATGTGCTTGTATATGTGTGTTTGTGCATGTCTCATATACATGGACTTGGTAAGCCTGTAAATTAGAGCGAGAGACAGGAGAGATGTTAGTTTTGTTCTAACCCTGTGAATACATTGTGACGATGGAAGCTTCCAGTACCTTCAACCCCCGAGCACCTCCCTACAAACACTTACTGTACTCCTTTCAATACACAGCTCTTAAAGAGAGGTAGAGAGAGGGTCAGAATACAGTGAATCTAAGTCCCCAGGCAGTCTACTTCCCTACTCCTCTCCCTCTCGTCAACCTCTCCTCTCCCTTGCTCCCCTGTCTCTCTCCCTAGTGTGTGCATGCATGTTCAATAGGGGTGGGTCCAGTGGGAATCAAATCCACAATATTGTCTTTCCAAGCGGCAATGCGCTACCAACTGAGCCACACAAGATAATGTCTGATAGGATGGGACAGAGAAAATATAATGTGTGATAGGATGGGACAGAGAAAAGATCATGTCTGATAGGAGGGGGACAGTCAGAAAGTCTGATGGATGGGACAGATGCGAGGATAATGTCTGAAGGATGGTTAAAGACAAGATAATGTCGGATTAGGATGGGTGTAGAGACAGGATAATGTTGATAGGAGGGTTAGAGGACAGGATAAGGTCTGATAGGCGGTTAGAGACAGGAGAATGCTGATAGGATGGTTTTTTTTTAAAGACAGAATAATGTCTGATAGGATGGTTAGAGACAGGATCATGTCTGATAGGATGGGACAGAGAAAAGATCATGTCTG